TATAAATACGTAAATACTACGTATTTTTTATTATGCCAATGCAGGAACTTTTTTATTATACCTAGTATATATATATATACATATTGGCATACCACAATATGTATATATGAGCATATTGGCATACCACAATATTTATAAACACACAAGATAATTTCTGGAGAGCTGGACATCTATAGATGATAAAAATAGCATCAATAGGAAGATAGAAATACCACAATCATACCTACAGTTGACACAAAATAGTCATATATAATATATAGCATTTTTCTGAAGATATAGTAGAACCTCCCTTTAGCGGACACCCCGCTAGAGGACACCTCTCCACAAAGGACAGATTTAATTTACAAAATTACCATTTTTACTATTTAGTAACTCTCCAGTAAGAGAACACCTCTCCTTAAATGACACTTTGGCTCTGTAATTAGGTGTTGTCCTTTGCAGAGAGGTAGTTCTACTGTAGCAACTCTCCAGTAAGAGGACACCTCTCCCTAAAGGACACTTTGGCTCTGTAATTAGGTGTTGTCCTTTGCAGAGAGGTAGTTCTACTGTAGCAACTCTCCAGTAAGAGGACACCTCTCCCTAAATAACACTTTGGCTCTGTAATTAGGTGTTGTCCTTTACAGAGAGGTAGTTCTACTGTAGCAACTCTCCAGTAAGAGGACACCTCTCCCTGAAGGACACTTTGGCTCTGTGATTAGATGTTGTCCTTTACAGAGAGGTAGTTCTACTGTAGCAACTCTCCAGTAAGAGGACACCTCTCCCTAAAGGACACTTTGGCTCTGTAATAAGGTGTTGTCCTTTACAGAGAGGTTGTTCTACTGTAGCAACTCTCCAGTAAGAGGACACCTCTCCCTAAAGGAAAATTTGGCTCTGTAATTAGGTGTTGTCCTTTACAGAGAGGTAGTTCTACTGTAGCAACTCTCCAGTAAGAGGACACCTCTCCCTAAAGGAAAATTTGGCTCTGTGATTAGGTGTTGTCTTCTACAGGGAGGTAGTTCTACTGTAGCAACTCTCCAGTAAGAGGACACCTCTCCCTAAAGGACACTTTGGCTCTGTAATTAGGTGTTGTCTTCTACAGGGAGGTAGTTCTACTGTAGCAACTCTCCAGTAAGAGGACACCTCTCCCTAAAGGACACTTTGGCTCTGTAATTAGGTGTTGTCTTCTACAGGGAGGTAGTTCTACTGTAGCAACTCTCCAGTAAGAGGACACCTCTCCCTAAAGGACACTTTGGCTCTGTAATTAGGTGTTGTCTTCTACAGGGAGGTAGTTCTACTGTAGCAACTCTCCAGTAAGAGGACACCTCTCCCTAAAGGACACTTTGGCTCTGTAATTAGGTGTTGTCTTCTACAGGGAGGTAGTTCTACTGTAGCAACTCTCCAGTAAGAGGACACCTCTCCCTAAAGGGCACTTTGGCTCTGTAATTAGGTGTTGTCTTCTACAGGGAGGTAGTTCTACTGTAGCAACTCTCCAGTAAGAGGACACCTCTCCCTAAAGGACACTTTGGCTCTGTAATTAGGTGTTGTCTTCTACAGGGAGGTAGTTCTACTGTAGCAACTCTCCAGTAAGAGGACACCTCTCCCTAAAGGACACTTTGGCTCTGTAATTAGGTGTTGTCTTCTACAGGGAGGTAGTTCTACTGTAGCAACTCTCCAGTAAGAGGACACCTCTCCCTAAAGGACACTTTGGCTCTGTAATTAGGTGTAGTCTTCTACAGGGAGGTAGTTCTACTGTAGCAACTCTCCAGTAAGAGGACACCTCTCCCTAAAGGACACTTTGGCTCTGTAATTAGGTGTAGTCTTCTACAGGGAGGTAGTTCTACTGTAGCAACTCTCCAGTAAGAGGACACCTCTCCCTAAAGGACACTTTGGCTCTGTAATTAGGTGTAGTCTTCTACAGGGAGGTAGTTCTACTGTAGCAACTCTCCAGTAAGAGGACACCTCTCCCTAAAGGACACTTTGGCTCTGTAATTAGGTGTAGTCTTCTACAGGGAGGTAGTTCTACTGTAGCAACTCTCCAGTAAGAGGACACCTCTCCCTAAAGGACACTTTGGCTCTGTAATTAGGTGTAGTCTTCTACAGGGAGGTAGTTCTACTGTAGCAACTCTCCAGTAAGAGGACACCTCTCCCTAAAGGACACTTTGGCTCTGTAATTAGGTGTAGTCTTCTACAGGGAGGTAGTTCTACTGTAGCAACTCTCCAGTAAGAGGACACCTCTCCCTAAAGGACACTTTGGCTCTGTAATTAGGTGTAGTCTTCTACAGGGAGGTAGTTCTACTGTAGCAACTCTCCAGTAAGAGGACACCTCTCCCTAAAGGACACTTTGGCTCTGTAATTAGGTGTAGTCTTCTACAGGGAGGTAGTTCTACTGTAGCAACTCTCCAGTAAGAGGACACCTCTCCCTAAAGGACACTTTGGCTCTGTAATTAGGTGTAGTCTTCTACAGGGAGGTAGTTCTACTGTAGCAACTCTCCAGTAAGAGGACACCTCTCCCTAAAGGACACTTTGGCTCTGTAATTAGGTGTAGTCTTCTACAGGGAGGTAGTTCTACTGTAGCAACTCTCCAGTAAGAGGACACCTCTCCCTAAAGGACACTTTGGCTCTGTAATTAGGTGTAGTCTTCTACAGGGAGGTAGTTCTACTGTAGCAACTCTCCAGTAAGAGGACACCTCTCCCTAAAGGACACTTTGGCTCTGTAATTAGGTGTAGTCTTCTACAGGGAGGTAGTTTCTACTGTAGCAACTCTCCAGTAAGAGGACACCTCTCCCTAAAGGACACTTTGGCTCTGTAATTAGGTGTAGTCTTCTACAGGGAGGTAGTTCTACTGTAGCAACTCTCCAGTAAGAGGACACCTCTCCCTAAAGGACACTTTGGCTCTGTAATTAGGTGTAGTCTTCTACAGGGAGGTAGTTCTACTGTAGCAACTCTCCAGTAAGAGGACACCTCTCCCTAAAGGACACTTTGGCTCTGTAATTAGGTGTAGTCTTCTACAGGGAGGTAGTTCTACTGTAGCAACTCTCCAGTAAGAGGACACCTCTCCCTAAAGGACACTTTGGCTCTGTAATTAGGTGTAGTCTTCTACAGGGAGGTAGTTCTACTGTAGCAACTCTCCAGTAAGAGGACACCTCTCCCTAAAGGACACTTTGGCTCTGTAATTAGGTGTAGTCTTCTACAGGGAGGTAGTTCTACTGTAGCAACTCTCCAGTAAGAGGACACCTCTCCCTAAAGGACACTTTGGCTCTGTAATTAGGTGTAGTCTTCTACAGGGAGGTAGTTCTACTGTAGCAACTCTCCAGTAAGAGGACACCTCTCCCTAAAGGACACTTTGGCTCTGTAATTAGGTGTAGTCTTCTACAGGGAGGTAGTTCTACTGTAGCAACTCTCCAGTAAGAGGACACCTCTCCCTAAAGGACACTTTGGCTCTGTAATTAGGTGTAGTCTTCTACAGGGAGGTAGTTCTACTGTAGCAACTCTCCAGTAAGAGGACACCTCTCCCTAAAGGACACTTTGGCTCTGTAATTAGGTGTAGTCTTCTACAGGGAGGTAGATCTACTGTAGCAACTCTCCAGTAAGAGGACACCTCTCCCTAAAGGACACTTTGGCTCTGTAATTAGGTGTTGTCTTCTACAGGGAGGTAGATCTACTGTAGCAACTCTCCAGTAAGAGGACACCTCTCCCTAAAGGACACTTTGGCTCTGTAATTAGGTGTTGTCTTCTACAGGGAGGTAGATCTACTGTAGCAACTCTCCAGTAAGAGGACACCTCTCCCTAAAGGACACTTTGGCTCTGTAATTAGGTGTTGTCTTCTACAGGGAGGTAGATCTACTGTAGCAACTCTCCAGTAAGAGGACACCTCTCCCTAAAGGACACTTTGGCTCTGTAATTAGGTGTTGTCTTCTACAGGGAGGTAGATCTACTGTAGCAACTCTCCAGTAAGAGGACACCTCTCCCTAAAGGACACTTTGGCTCTGTAATTAGGTGTTGTCTTCTACAGGGAGGTAGTTCTACTGTAGCAACTCTCCAGTAAGAGGACACCTCTCCCTAAAGGACACTTTGGCTCTGTAATTAGGTGTAGTCTTCTACAGGGAGGTAGATCTACTGTAGCAACTCTCCAGTAAGAGGACACCTCTCCCTAAAGGACACTTTGGCTCTGTAATTAGGTGTTGTCTTCTACAGGGAGGTAGATCTACTGTATAATGATTCTGTTTAAATGGCAGGGTCCCACACACACACACACCAACCTATGTGTTACATAAACAATATTTCTCGTACATCAAGTGGATGTTCAGCGTTTGATTTCCTAAAAGAAGAACAGCCTCGTCGAAATATAGATTTTTTTTTTTTTAATAAATATATTTGATCCTGAATATTTCCCTAGTGTAGAGGTCGGTAAACTGCGGTGGCTCGTGAGACACATGTGGCTCTTTGGATGTGAAGCTCTTTATATAGTTCCACTAGCCGAATGACCCGGGCAACGCCCGGGTTTTACCCGATTAAATGTTTTATTAAAATACTATTCTTTACAATTATAAATTAGCGTCGTGGATGGCACTCTTTTGAAACGTCCCACTTCAATCTTTGTGTGTTTTTAAAATACAAAAATAAAAATGTAAATTTTCACAAAGATATTTGAAAATTGTATTATTTAGATTTTTTGTATGAATATATTTTAAATCTGATATATACTTAAAATGATATGATAATGATAGCAAGTGATTTCTTGTTCCTACCCTGTTATTACGTCACTCAAGGTCACCGTCGCGCCACGTGGTGGCGCAGCAAACGGTGACACTTGAATGGCGCTCTCCTATTGGCTCGCTACGATCACGCCACCAAAAGCAAACGGTGACAGAACGCATGACGCTGATAACTGTATATAGAACTAGCCGAATGACCCGGGCAACGCCCGGGGTTTACCCGATTAAATGCTTTTATTCAAATACTATTCGTTACAATTATAAATTGGCGCCGTAGATGTCACTCTTGTGAAACGTCCCGCCCCAAACCATCGGCCGGGAATCGAAACCGGGGCGCCCGCGTGGCAGGCGAGCATTCTACCACTAAACCAAAGGCAAACGGTGACAGAAGTGTCTCGCGCATTGACGGCACCAAATGATGGGGGGGGGGGGGGGGGGGCAAAGGTGGCGTGATCGTAGCCGACCAATAGGAGGGCGCCGGCAAACCGTGACAGAGGCCATGACGCTCGTAACTGTATATAGAATACGTAAATATTATTTATGTGAGTACTGTTTATTGTTGGCAAGAAAAAATGTTGTAGCTCTTTGAAAACTTTAAAATTTTGTAAATTGTAATTTTTGACTCTTCCGATTCAAAAGTTTGACGACCCCTGTCCTAGGAGAATGGCATTCATGTGCCAAAAAATTAATTACTTAAATTACTAAAATTAAATACTTTGTTACATAGTTCCTTCCCTATGGGAGCTGTGACCCACAGCTATCAATTATTGTAGATACTGACATGGATCTGACGTGCTTCTGCCAAGGATTCCATGGAAGTCTTGGAACTTTGTCCCTAGTAACTTTGCGTCCTTTTTCTTGCGGCGTGAAGAGCGGATTTGTCGTCGTATCATCTATAGGGACATCGTTATCTTGGAGGGAAGTCTTGGCTTTGACACGGCGGTGGAATTCTGGAGCCAGTCTCCGAAAATGTAGATCACAGCACCCATGGCTTCAAATTCTTCTCGGCGATCTTCAGTTTGTCTTCTCTAACTTACCCAGCATCTCCACCAAATTGCCACGTGGAAAATAATAAAGACTTCGCTACAATATTTATATCTTTCTGTAAATATGCGTTAGAACAATCATTCTCTTTATCATTCCACTAAAAATCTGAAGGTGTGGTATAAAGAATGATCCTTAACACCTGTTTTGGTAAACTCGGACAAACACCCAACAACCAGTATACCATGGTTTCGGACTATGGCACTCATCAGTACAGTTGAGAGGCTTTTTGGAATTTTCGACCTATTCCATAACATCTCTCGTAGGATGTTATGTCCCTGTACTGATGAGGGCCATAAACCATGGTATACTGGTTGTTGTCTGTATTTGTTAAAACTGGTGTTGTGGCTTATTCTTTATCATCACCCTCAAGTTTTTGCTGGGATGATAAAACAATGCATATTTAAAGAGAGGTGTCTCTTTTGATATATAGCGTATAGTTCCGACGTCTATTTTGACGGGAGAGGTGACCTTATTTTTATATATCATTATCCTCCCGGCAAAATTTCCATATCTATATATAATATATGTATATATTATTTATATAAAAAAAAATAAAGTTCACCTCTCCCGTCAAACTAGACTCCATCTATTGATCGTCACCGCCAACTTGCAGACTCAGGTAGGTAACAAAGCCACAACACCAGCTTTGGTAAACTGAGAAGCGTCCACCTAGAGACCATGGTTTCGGGCTAATGGCCATCGTCAGTCTAGGGCGGACTTTATTCCATGAGATCCACACGGGATCTGTGAGTGGTATAGATGGCGTCTAACTTTGACGTCTATTTTGACGGGAGAGGTGACCTTTATTTTTATAGACCAATGTTCTTCGGTCAAAATTTCCATATATATATAATTTCAAAGTGTATATTTATAAATATATGTATTTCTACTATCTCCACAAATCTTATGTCCATAGTTCAATTAAATTACCTTTTCCAAGAGTCTAGCATCAGTATCAGTATAAAAGGAAAATAACCAAATACAATATAACAGCGGTATGGTAGATTAAACTGGGGAAACCGCTGGGAGGGTTCACCACTGATGAGCCAGGCCCTTCCATTATTTTCATCATCGCAGTAAGGGCAGTAGATAATTGTTTTATTTCAAAAGGAATCATAAGTGTTAAAAATAGTTTAAATTTTCTTATAAATATTGTAGCAAAGTATTTATTATTTTATTAACAGAGTATCTTTTTTATAGGTTTATTTATTGTTACTCTGTAAACTTCCCTCATTGCTTATCTTTTGTTTATCATTTATAGTTTGTTCTTGCCTTAAATAAATTGCTGTGTCATCCTGAAGTTTGTCTTTCCTAATTTTCTACGTGGCAATATAAATACAGTTAAACCTAAAGAGACAAGGGTCGCCTCTCCCGTCAAAATAGACGTCAAAACTAGACGCATCTATTGACCGTCGTCGCAAACTAATATATAGATGGCCTCTAGTTTTAACGTCTATTTTGACGGGAGAGGCGACCTTTGTATCTTTATATCAATATCCTCACGGCAAAATTTCCATATACGGTTAAACCTGTTTATAGCGCCCCCTCTAAATAACTCTTCCTCTCTATAGCGCCCGATTTTAAATACGTAGTACGATGCGATTTACATTAAAAGTGACCTGTCTATAGCACTCCCTCTCTAAAGCACCCTATTTTGGTGAGTCCCAAGAGGGGGCGCTATAGACAGGTTTAACTGTATATACTTTTAAGTTTTTTTTTTTTTCCACGAACAAATTTGAAAGAAATAACTCCAAGGCTGACACAGAAGCCAATTACCTCAATCCTGGAAAAACTCTCCAAAAGAGAAGCTAAAACGATTAAGGATTGGTGGATCTGCTGCGCATGCGCAGTTTGATCCCCAGATTTATACCACGATAGAAGTTCGTCTGATTTTTTTTTTATTCTATCGTTTGGTCGACGGGTGGTTAGTTAAATTGATGTGAAACTTTCGAGATCTTTTTTTTTTCTCAAGTCGCGAGTCAAAAATGGATTTTTGGGGGGAAAAGTCTTGCAAAGCTTATTTTGGTTTCTTCAAGGCTAACTTCTCTATCGTGAAGTAGAAAAAAAAATTGTCTGATCCAATTTTTAGACTTGAGTTGGAGGCTTACCGTTTGTTGGTTTTGTAGATCTTTAATACCATTCTCTCTTTGCTGTTTTGAAACTTTTTATCTTTGTGGAGAAGGAACTGTATCAAATGTTGGAGACTATGGCGTCACATCTAAACACCATCTTTCAATATCTTTCATTCTACTTTTACATTGAACTGACAAAATTTACTATTTACGGGATAAAACACAAAGTTACAATACACTAGGGCCTACAGTAAGAGTAACTAACATATAGAAAAGCGTACACTCAAGAGTATAACAATAAAAAAGAGCAAAAAACTCACGATTTGCTATATAAAAACAAAACAGAACTTTTATTGTAGCGTTGGTAGGGATCGGACCGGGGTCACACAGGTATGGGAGGAGATAGCCAGACACGGATAAAACACGCAGAGAACACTGTAAACGTCTCCACACAATAATCCACCACACTGGGGTCTCGCAATCGGAAATAACTTTATTTACGGGGATGCTAACCAAAATAAATTATTTTTGAGCCCCAATGGCCTATCGCATTACCATAGCCCCCTTATATATACAAACATGGCCACATTCGTCCAATGAGAAGGCGGTAGAGATTGGTTCACTAACAAACGAAAACAAAATTCTTCCCACTAAAACCTGAGATAAAAGTGCAAATATTTGTCAATATAATTTGACAGAACTAACGGTCTAGTTGCAATAATTTAGTACAACTCTGATATACATGTATCGTCATTTTCTTCTTCTTTCTTATCTCCACTCAATCACACTAAGGTATCAAGCTTGTAAAACTTGTTGATGGTGTCTTTCGGGGAAGAGTAGAGCTCATCAATGGATGAGTCAATACAGTCAATAATTTGCTGTAGCGTCATAATCTGCTAAACAAGTAACTTTAAACCGAATAAAATCTTTCACTTATTTTTTATATACGTAGTTGAATTCACAAATGATCAATTCTAAAAAAAAAACTATTTTTAGTTATTCTTTTGAAACGTAAACTAGGCAGAGAAAATATAAACACAATTATAAATGAAAAAAAGAAAAAATAAAAGATAAAAAGATCAGGTGTTGAAATCAAAAATAAAAATGACATATCCTGACCAGGAGCACATATGCTTTACAGAAGGCAGAACGCCATCTGGTGGAACAGAAATCAACTAATCATTGATTTAGCCTGTTCCCTGATATATATAATAAGTGCAATGAAGTCAGCAAAAAACGTACTGAATAAAATTCTTTAAAAATGACTACAAAACTAACAAAGATATTTTATTATGATGCATTAGCGCGCCATCTGTTTTCAAAATTCGAAACTATTATAGACTCGTATGATTATTTTTAAACTGGCCAAACCGCTGGGAGGGTTCACCACTGATGAGCCAGGCCCTCCCATTAATTTTTTCATTGCAGTAAGGGTAGTAGAAAGTGTGTTTATTAAAAAAATAATAATAATAATCATACGCGTCTATAATAGTTACGAATTTTGATATCCACTCATGGAGACAAAACTTAAGGAATTTGTACCTTTTACCATCTATATAGGGATTGAGACGATAACTCTGAAAGATATTACAGTGACCTTTATTGAAGGCACACGAGATAACCAATATACACTCATGGAGACAAAACTTAAGGAATTTGTACCTTTTAGCATGTATATAGGGATTGAGACGATAACTCTGAAAGATATTACAGTGACCTTTATTGAAGACACACGAGATAACCAATATACACTCATGGAGACAAAACTTAAGGAATTTGTACCTTTTAGCATGTATATAGGGATTGAGACGATAACTCTGAAAGATATTACAGTGACCTTTATTGAAGACACGCGAGATAACCAATATACACTCATGGAGACAAAACTTAAGGAAGTTGTACCTTTTACCATCTATATAGGGATTGAGACGATAACTCTGAAAGATATTACAGTGACCTTTATTGAAGGCACACGAGATAACCAATATACACTCATGGAGACAAAACTTAAGGAATTTGTACCTTTTAGCATGTATATAGGGATTGAGACGATAACTCTGAAAGATATTACAGTGACCTTTATTGAAGACACGCGAGATAACCAATATACACTCATGGAGACAAAACTTAAGGAAGTTGTACCTTTTACCATCTATATAGGGATTGAGACAATAACTCTGAAAGATATTACAGTGACCTTTATTGAAGACACACGAGATAACCAATATACACTCATGGAGACAAAACTTAAGGAATTTGTACCT